ATATGTCAGTGATGAATTCGTTCACATCCGCTGCTATTAATTTCTATGGAAAAGTTGACCGTTTCCCGGAAAATTTCAAATAATTGAACGCTTTTTTCGTTTTCGTTCTCAGTTCGGTGATTAGAACGTATAGAATTCAGCCGAGTAATACGAATAAGCCATTACATTTAATTATTTTTCATTTAAATTCAACGCTTCGAACATTTGAAAATCTATCAGATGCCAACACTTCAAGGCAATACCACTACTTCTACGAATTCATTCAGCAAGAGGGATTGACTGCATCCAACCCGACCAACCGACGACCACTGATTATCGTCGTTTCCTGTAATTATGAAATTATGATGACTCAAATAACTCGAGAAAATGAACGGAACGTTGAATGCTGATTGAAATCTCTTTCTTAGAAATTGTTTCTAAAAATTACATCTTTAAGCATTTCGAAAGTTTTTTCAATTTTTGAAAGCTTTTTGAACGAGCGATATGAGCAAGTGTACTTATTGAATACCCTAACGCTACGCCTTCTGCGAAAAATTCTTGTGTTTATTTGCATTGTGTTTCAGAATTAAGAGAAGTTATTGCTACCAATTAAGACTATTTTTTGCATTACCAACTATTTGAATGAATAACAAAGCTTTATGAATTTAGAACCTTGAAATTTTCGGTTCATTTTATATAAAATAAGATTTTTCACATATTTTCAGTTATACCAAATCATTTTCACTAATTAAGCAATTGGCAATCCCAATGGATAAATCAATTAGATGATGACAGAAACTGAATTTAAATGCTGAATTCTTCAAAAACGAACCAAATCCATTTGGCACGTGCACCCGGTTGATTCACCTTAGAACGTTCACGTCTTCGTGGATCGCGCGTTAAAAGACCAGCTCAAAAAAAGAAATTTCATTTCATCGTGACTCCGAGAAAGCCAATTTAATTCAAAAATAAAATAATGCTCTCAAAATTGCTTGTTTGCAATATCTCCAAGAAGAGATGAGATGTTCATATCGTTTTGCGTTGAACAGCTAAAATAACAGTCAATATTCAGTACCTAAACGAAGTTTTTCCGAATGTTCTGGATAGAGAGCAGCAATGCCCAACGCTGCACCATGCCTCACCACTCGAGGTATCACCGAAACACCGCCTGGCCCTTCTTGCACCACTGCCGAGATATCAACCATTCCGAGTACGTCGGCTACGATCAATGGTGCCAAAAATACCTCTCTTAAANGCACACAAATGTCACATAAATTATACAACTGCTGTTTGAAAATCGAAACTGAAATCGATAGGATAATAAGGTTTGTCGATAGATAAACTATTCATTTCATTCTGTGTACGCACTCTTTCAAACGATCGCACCACTACGATTGTACCGATTGTCTCAAAATTAACTTACAGAAATTTTATTGAACGAGGAAAAAATCTTCGATCAACTACACTTCAACCAAGATCATCTTATCATAAATGCCGATCAATCATACTATCAATAATAGCATACTACATCAGATATTGAAGAATCTATCGAAGTGCTGATGTCCCCTCACTTGCCTTCAATAATATTTGGCAAACAACACATGGAGGTGAGCCTACCTGGCTTGAAGTGATCTAAATTCGTCGATACCGTGACCATTCACAGTGTATTTGCCTGTACCCGCGTCAGAAACCGTTACGAGGGCTTTCGTTGTTTTCACGGTTGTTTCTGAACGTGCGATACGTCGGTTCGTCTCGGGAATCACCTCCACTTTGGGAATCTGAATGGTTTATTTGATTTTGAACAAGGAAAAGGAGTGGTAATATCATAACTTACAATAACGAACACAATAATCATAAATATTACTACAGTTCTAATATTATTACTATTATAATTACAATAGCAAACCTCAGGTCCAAACAATCGAGATCCGGCGCCACTAGCAATTGGCATTCGATACTCAAATATGAAGTCACGCTCCATTGATGAGAACGGTAATGAGCATAAATAATCGAACGCCATTATCAGATTCGTATACTGAAAATTACTTGTAACTTAAAATCACCACACTGCACTTGAAAAGCAAAAAAAAAACACAACGGAACGTTGAAAATCTTAAATGTCTCGAAGAGAACAATAGTACTCTACGGGACACTCAGGAAACAATTATAATGGATAAAAACAGTTCAAAAGAGAAGTTGAACAAAACACACCATTTCATCGGATATTGTTTCTTCAAGCTTTTTGTTCATGTCTTCCTTTGGCAACCAAGCGCTACCAGATAAGATTCTGTATATGACGCGCAAATATGAAGGTGAATATGAACATTGTTGATGAAACGTATACAATCACAAAATAAATCAACTCAGCAATTTTGGAATACGACTTGAACTGATTTCTATCTGATGTGTTAACAAAGAATAATTGCCCAATGGAATCCACTGACGCGAAAATTATCAGTTCCATCTATTAGAAATCCCCTATTTAAACTATGGCTTGAGAACTTGATTTGGCTAATCGGGAACAGCTGAACTAATAAGAAGGATAAATTTCAGAGAATCTGATCAGTTATGATTTTGATACTTCCTTTCGTTCAACAATGCTGGCTGCTAGTTCGTGTATAAGACAATGAGTGTTCATTGTGATGAAAATATGATGAATATAATGAAATAGAATAGAAATTTCAAATACAACACACAATTCTTGTGGCGGTGTTGTTTTGATATTTTTCAGGATTTGCTCATGTTCATACAACTTCAAACGGCTCGTTTTCAATGCGATATCCTGAAATCAAAATAGAATTAGTCAATCAAAACGTTTTAGCGCAGCTTACCACACTCAATTCATCAAAGCCAATTATAAAATGCAAGGACGGAGAATATTCAATTCTGGAACTTTTTTTCAAAATGACAGAAACTCATAAATGCTGAAAATTTTGTAGGTTTATTCTTGTAATAAGTGGAATGAAAATGCAAAGAAGAAGGCAAAATATACCGATAGAAGCTGATAAAATTTTGGTTTGATCGTGTAAAATAGTGTGCCACACGGTCGACCTTCATCGTCAAATGACAATTTATGAAACTTCGGCATCACCTCCTCTGGAGGTTTCATTACTGGTTGCGCGAGAGGATCGCTTAGTCCGGATGGGAATAAATAAGAAATTGCCCTGAAACGGATATGATCCAGAAGTGATCTCACAACTTCTTTTTGAAACATCCTCAGATGCTTTCCCTAAGAAATTTGTGATTCTGAAATTTCACTATCTGTTTCTAGGACTCTTGAAATCACTCAACAACGATATCACTCTATGTCCATG